AGACTAAATACTGCTTTCTGAAGACTAGATACTGCTGACAGGTCTAAATACTGCAAAAGAAAGATAAGATATTGTTGGAGAAAACATACATAACTTTGGCAGAAGACTAGATACTGCTTCTAGAAGACTAAATACTGCTTTCTGAAGACTAGATACTGCCGATAGGTCGAAATACATAGTCTGGAACAGTAAATGCTGCTTTCTAAAGACTAAAATTGCTTTGTTGAGACTAAATACAGGTTTCTGAAGACTAGATACTGCTGACAAGTGTAAATACTGCAAAAGAAAGATAAGATATTGTTGGAGAAAACATACATAACTTTGGCAGAAGACTAGATACTGCTTCTAAAAGACTAAATACTGCTTTCTGAAGACTAGATACTGCCAACAGGTCTAAATACAGCGTTTGGAACACTAAATACTGCTGTCTGAAGACTAGATACTGCTCTGGAAGATTAAATACTGCTTTCTGAAGACTAGCTGCTGCTGTGGAAGATTAAATACTGCTTTCTGAAGACTAGATACTGCCGACAGGTTGAAATACAGCGTCTGGAACACTAAATACTGCTTTCTAAAGACTAGATACTGCTGACAGGTCTAAATACTGCAAAAGAAAGATAAGATATTGTTGGAGAAAACGTACATAACTTTGGCAGAAGACTAGATACTGCTTCTAAAAGACTAAATACTGTTTTCTGAAGACTAGATACTGCCGTCAGGTCTAAATACAGCGTCTGGAACACCAAATACTGTTTTCTAAAGATAAAAATTGCTTTGTAGAGACTAAATACTGCTTTCTGAAGACTAGATACTGCCGACAGGTCTAAATACTGCAAAAGAAAGATAAGATATTGTTGGAGAAAACATTAAAAAGGCGCCGGCGCCCCTTTTTAAGCGACGCCCAGGTGCAGTGCACCCCATGCACCCCCCGGTAGCGCCGCCTCTAAGTATAGTTTAATTTGGCGATATTTCTAATGGCTCTTCTTTGTATACTAAATATTCTTTTATTAATAGCGGCGTGTCCCCAGGCAAGTAGTCCTTAACTAAGATGACTCTAAAAAAGCGCAAAATAAGCGGTGCGCAATACCTCCGTAGAAGAAAATTCAGAAAGACGTCTTAACAAAAAGGCTGTGGAGCTTAAACGAGAAGCTAAAGCTTCGCCATGAAAACTCCAGGTAAGTCCCGGGTCAACATACACGCCCAGAAATCTGAAACTATCATCAGAATCCAAACTTTTATCTGTGTGCTTTAGTGAAAAGGTCATCAAGGTTTTATCATTATTCAACATTAGCTGATTACTTGTAAACCAATGTCTAGCCGAAATGATCATTAAATTATTATTTTCGGTGCTTTAGATGAATGTTTATTTAACAAACTGACGTTTCTAGAAATTTTTATTCAAATCTTTATAAATAATCAAAAAATTTTCTTCAAAAACAGTTTCCTTACATTTTGATAATTATTATTACAGCAAACGTTTCATAGATGGCGTTAAAAATTAATTTTTAATTCAATTAAAAACCTCATTAAAATGTAAAAAAGACGACAAACTATGCGGAATTCTCGCTTAATGAGATTTTTTTTTCAAAGCAGTGTTTGTAAAAGTCAAGACGATAACGGTATATATACGGTTCGCCGATCGTCATTTCGGCGAACCAGTTAAAAAGCGACCTTTCGCGGCCGACCGACCGGACCTAAACTAAAAAAAATACTTTACAATAAAAAAAAACGAACGACCCGTACCGTATTGTTTTAACGATCCATCGAACGGCTTGAACCAACATCCGTTCCTTCTTCGTATACGTCAATCTATCGCTCCACTTATTTACGGCCACTTATATTTCTCTCCTTTCGTACGTACGCCACTGGATACTTTCAGTGTGGCGCGGCGTGAAGTTAGTCGCGATCTTGAAGACTTCGAGACAAGCTCCGGGGAAATCTGGCCGCGTCCACAATTGGGCGCCGCGATTTTCGAAAAACGTGCGCCAACATTCATGTGCGTGCGCGTTAAACGACGACGACGACGTTTTGTGGCGTTTTTCGACCTTGTTTAGTCCCTCTTTGGCGATCTACACGACCAGTTTCTTTTATACACACGAAAACGCACGTGGTAATTTCAATTTCATTTTAATTTTTTTTCAAGGCTGTTCATAATCGTAAATTAGAAAAGTTTGTGTTTGAATGCGCAGTTTCTTTTTTAACTTCTTTGGTGCGCCGATTTTGAGTGTGGTGTTTGTTTAAAATGATTTTTTTTTGGAAAT